ACATACCTCATGCTGATGGAGGATGCAATTGTATTGACAAAGCCTATCTTGATGAAATTTAGTCGTACGATAATGCCACACACCCAAGCATTCCTTTTTCCTGAGACAAAAGGGTCAGATATACCATAATATTTACTCACTAAGGCCACAAGGGAACAGACAATTTCTCCACAAATTGTAATTTAGTTCTAACAAATTCTCTTTTAGACTTTAGTAGCAATAGATTGATAAATAAGAAACAAAATGGACGAAACACAATTTTATCTATTGAGTTCGACTTCACTTACAGCATTCGAGCAACAGTATATCCTAAGCCACTAGTTTATAATTCAAATCAGACAACCTTACCTAGAATTGCCCGAACAGCATCTAAGTTGGAGCCATTTCTCACAGGACCGTAGTCGGGATCGGCAGATTTGTAGCAATTCCACGTACAAAATATAGAAGTAAGGGTGACTGATGCAAATGCCAACATGGTCAATGGAGCTGCGATCCACCCGAGCCATGACATGCTCCATGCTAATGAAAGTACTCCAGAACCTATTAATGCTGTTATTATATGAGACAAAGCCGTCCACACATTCCCTGATTTCTCATATGTAGGAACACACACGTTAAATAATACAAATGACAAACTAAGCCTTGTTCTCAATATATCTACAATCAAACGAATCCCTTTTCAAATTTCTGTTTGTTCTTCCCATATTCAACAAAACAAAGCTCTGTTCCCAATATCTTTTTGGACAAAATTTACATAAACCATGACAGATTAGTTTTTTCTCAAATGTGATGTTGCTTNNNTTTTTTCTCAAATGTGATGTTGCTTCAGCATTAAAATCTGCACCTTGATCGATAAAAATATAAGCAAATGGTTGAAGAATCAAGAAAGAAAAACTTAACTTGCACGTTTTCACGCCTTTGATGAAAAAATAAATCCAATTTGCGCATAAATAGAACGTTCGAAACTACATTTAAATTAATAAAAATATTTCCATCTAAAAGGTTAAACAAAGGGAGGTGACAGTAAAACAATGAACTTGTTTCCAAAATCAGACACCGGTTACAACCTTCAATGCCAAGTATATTGTACATCAAATGTTAAATGCAAGTAAATAAAGAAAAATATGTTACTAAATACACAAAGCTGGAAATTTTAACATTACTTCTATATTCATGTTTGGCAGTGCTTAAAAGTTTGGTCAGTTAAAAGGTAATAAGCTCAACCAGCATGCTTTCGGTACTCAAATTAAAGAAACAGGAATAGAATGGAATCGGTATCAGAACAAGCTACAATCTTGACAGCCTCCTTCGGCAAAGAGGTTGAGAAATGGGACTTTGACTTGAAGCTCTCAATACTCGATAGAATAAAATAAAGGAAATTGACTGACGACAGGGAAATACCTTTTTTAAGGGAATGATTGATCGTCCGTTCATCAGAAGAAAAGCTTGTCTGAAATAATGGAGTCTGCGTATCATCTCCGTTTATTTCCGACATGAATACAGGTTTCGAAATGTCTACGTATAGAAAGACAATTGAAATTTGAACTTTATTTAGAAGCCAAAACGATAACGTTGTTTTTCTTTTTTTGGATAAGGTAAGTATATTATATCCAAAGTGTAAAAATAAAGTACATAATCCTCGGGGCATACCCCAGAAAAACAAGTCTAGGAATATGCTTCCTCCTAGCACCAAAAATAGGAACCAAGATTAGAGCTTATAACCTAGTCATGACAATAGAAAATATTCGCAGAAAAACCCCATGAGCGTTGGAGCCATCTATTCTCACTAGATGGGACCAAGCCTCTACACAAATCCACTCATGTACAAACAGAAAAAACAATATCTCGAATAACAACAGATTCATGTTTAGGAATCACACCATGGGCCCTAGCATTACGCTCACG